TTTTAAACTATGATACAGGCTATTTTAAACTATGATACAAAGTGTTTTTATTTTTTCCTGACCTTGCATAAAGATCTCAAATCATCCTGTTAATGATACATAATAAGGACAGACACACATTTTAAACTATTACAGATGGTCTTGGTAATTAAAGATAGTCTCCATTTTTTGTTTGTTTGTTTGTTTTAGTTTAACCTAAAGAACAGGATCCCTTCTTTGTTACCTGCTATCATGTTCATGTAGCAAAGTCAGTGAATAACAAAATAAACCAACAGATTAGGACAGTAAAATGGAATTAGGAGAAGTCTTCAACACGCTGATCTGGTAAAAATGAGCCTAACAGTTTGAGAGAACAGTGTTGTGGGAATATAAAAAGCTTATCTGTGAAAAGTGATAGAAAGCAGGCAAGACCCAATTCTACTGAGTCAGTATTCCTTTTCTTAATGACTAGTCAACATAAAATTTAGCTTTGCAGTATATCTTCTGCTGATCAACACTGTTTCTAAAATACTAGCTAAATGTTGTTTTAGAGTAAAAGCGATCATTTTTACATTTAACTCATCAAAGTAAAATTGTCAATCAGTTCAATGTGTCCCAAGTGCTTTTCTTATAATTTTAACGAGTGGCAAAAATTAAAATTGAAAAAATAAAACACAAACACTTTTCTGAAATCAGAGAGAGATACAAGGCCATCAATGAACTAAAAAACATGTCTTAGATGCCATTAAGAAAATTAAATGTACCATCAAATAATAATACCTGTAATATTAATAGTTAATATTTCTTGAAAGCGGTAAATACCAAGTACCATCAGTGTTTTACATGTATTAGCTCATTGCACCCTCACAACAATTTTGAGGTAAGTGCTGTTATTTTTTCCCCCTTTACAGACGAAAAGACTGAGGCTTAGAGTGGGTAGGAATGATTTTCAAACCTGACATCAAAGTCCCAAGCTCTTAGCCACTACTCTATACTGCTTCAAATAGAGCTCGTCCTCCTCATTTTTCTAATAAATATTTATTGAGTCTTTATTATGTATCATTAACAGGGTGATTTGAGATCTTTACGCAAGGTCAGAAAAAAAATAAAAAATAGACTGGTTACTCTCGCCAAATGAAAAGCTGTAATATGACAACACAGGCTGGGCATGGGGGACAGGGCACGGGGCAGACAGTGGGAGTGGAATTGCTCCCTTTCTAAAGATGCTTTTCTTCATGGTATGGCAAATCTTCATTATTAATCAAATAAATCTCTTCTGAAGATATGGATATGTTTCAGTGGTAGTAAATTTCACTTTGGTTCTAGTGAAATTCTTTCTACATGAAATTTTCATTAGCCTATAAAATAACAGTTAGAATGGCAGCAATCTGTAAGTTAATTTTTAGCAATATGTGAACTTTTTTCTTGTCATGATACTTTCTATTCAATAAAGCAAACCCCATCTCTACTGAAAAACCTCATTTCATTGCTTCATGATCTATTATCATCTAAGGTTGAGCCAAGGAATGCTATAACCCCACTAGATGTCAGGCCCCTGCCATCTACTCACTATCAAACAAAAGTTCCCTTTATAGACTATTTAAGTTATGTTGCCAAAGAAGTCCTTTATGACAGGGGAGTCCAAATCAATGCTCACTGTAAAATCCTAATACCCCAAACAAGAAAACCTTCAAAAGATAAGTTTTAAAAACAACAAGTGGATCACAAATATAATTTATATTTTTAAAGTATCTTTTTCTTTTAAAGTGAACAAAAAAAATAAAGTTTCAGACAAGTTATTACGATAACTTTTTCTAATTGCTTTCCATCTATAGAGAGATACAAATAAAGACAGTAAAGCTGGCTAATGATTAAGTCTGGTTCTACTGTTTTCAAGGGGAAAATCAAATGATAAAAAGTAAAAGTTTAAATTTAGTTATGGGACACAACTTTGTTTGATAAAAGGCAGAAAACTCATTTTTTGTGATAAACATCGACACATTTCTATTAGGCCCACAAAACAACTATAAACTATTATTAGCAGTTTTGTTTAAAGGCCAAGTTAAATAGATTATGATACATCTTTACAAAGTATACTATTTAGTGATTAAAAATAATGCACCTTTAGGGTCTGATCTGTAACAGCCACAGATACATATGGTTAAGTGAACAAACAAAATGCAGAACTCTGTACAGTATGGTAACATTGGAATTTTAAAAAACACACACACACTGACTTGCATACAAACACAGAATAACTGTAAAGATGCATACGAAACTACTAACAGACTCAGTGTTTACTGTTTATCTCTTTTACCAAATTTTATGTTACCTATTTAAGAATTAGAAGGTAATACAATTAAAAAATAATAAAATCAAGTCAGCTGAAAAAACTGAAGAGTTCTTTTTGAAGATTTAAGGACAAAGTTAAAACAGTGATGACAGAAGCACATTGCATAAATATAAAGTGAATCACATCTTTATGATTTTCAAGATTGTAGCATTTGCAGAAGAAATCTTGATAAACATATAAGGAAAGCAAAACCCAACAACAATAAATCCCAGTAAAGACCTTGGTATAACTAGAGCACCCACAGGTAGACTTCTTTCTTTTGGTTGCACTAGGTAAAAAAAAAAAAAAAAAAAAAAAAATCATGCTTAGAGGAAGGGAACCAGCATTTACAAAGCACCTATTATATGTGAAGCATCTGATATATCTCACCGAATCATCATAACAGTCTGAAAGTTTGAAATCATTATCCTTGAGGCTTGGGCAAATTAAGTAACTTTCCCAAAGAAACTTTGGTAAGTAGAGATAGGCTATAAGCCAGGCCAGTCTGGCTCCAAAGGCTGAGTTGTTTCTGATATACCAGGTTGGCATTATCTTATAGAATAAAGTGGAATTGCAGCTGGGAAAGAAAGAAGCTAAGCTTTAGAATACAGGGTCCTATCAACAGGGAAATGTGCTTGTTATAAGTGGCTTAGAAATAACTATTTCCTAAAGGACTTGTATTCCTAAATTACTTGTCAGTGACATCATACTTTGTCATTTCTCAGGAAACATGGAATTATCTCTGATTTATTCTATCTTTATATCCAGCCTGTCATTTAGTTTCTTCTCCCTTTAAAATGTTTTTCAGTTCTGCTGCTTACTGTACATTTTTACTTCTATCACTGTAAGTCTACAAGTCTCTATGACCTGTTTTTTCACCTCTAAAGCATCCTTACCAGGTTACATTTCCTAAAATACTGCCTTCATTACCTCAACTTTCTACAGAAGATCCTATACTGGATCTTGGCATATCTCAGCAGGTATAAAGTGTTACAAGCCTCTTTATAAATCTCATAAACTGGTTTTCGTTTACCAATTTTATCTAATTCTCTTTCATACCCACTCTCTACAGGTCAAACTGTTTATTACTTCCTGCATACTTCTACATCTTTGCTTTTGCTGTTATTCCTGACTGAACTCCTCCCCCAAATTCTATTCATTCTTTGTGGTTCATCCTAATCTTGTCTTCTCTAAGAAACTGTTCCCAATAACCTCAAAACCTGTTATAGCCAGTATTACAATAATGACTTGATTAAATATCATCTTGAAACATTATCTAATTTTTTTATTGTGCTTTAGTTTTGTATCTTCAACTAGACTATACATTTCTTGAGGCCAGAGTCTGATTATGTCACTATTCTTCTAAAATCCTCCGGTAGCTCCCATCATTTTAAGATTAAAGCTCAACTGCCTTCCAATGGCTATAACCTGGCTTCAGTCAATCTTTCTAGTCTAAGACTACTCATCTTGTACCCTGTACTAGCTACACTGAACTATTCTCTGTTCCCATATAAATATATGTATATTTCAAATATAAATATTGTACATATATAGAGAAAAAATATATTTATCAATATTTATTTATTTCTTCACATCTTCATGCCTGTATTCTCTCATCTGAGAATGTTTTTTCCTTTTCCCTGCTTGATGCACCCCTATGTATTCATTTGTCCAGACTTGGTTCTAATGTTATTTTCCCTAAGAAGCTCTAAGAAGCCTCATCCTTGGGGAAAACAGTTGTCCTTCCTCTGTATTTCCATATTCCTTTGTAAATACCTGTATATAGCACACAGTGCATGGTACTATAATTCCTTGTTTAAATTTTTTTCTCCCCTACTATAATGTGGTATCTTCTTCATCTTTGTACTTCTAGATCCCCACAGCAATAGTATATACATACAGCAGGCATTAACGTGTTAGTGGGATGAAAAGCAGATCTTCAATAATGAAAAAACTTATATAATACTTTTTTTTTTTTTTGAGGCAGAGTTTCGCTCTTGTTACCCAGGCTGGAGTGCAATGGCATAATCTTAGCTCACCAAAACCTCCGCCTCCTGGGTTCAGGCAATTCTCCTGCCTCAGCCTCCTGAGTAGCTGGGATTATAGGTACACGCCACCATGCCCAGCTAACTTTTGTATTTTTAGTAGAGACGGGGTTTCACCATGTTGACCAGGATGGTCTCGATCTCTTGACCTCGTGATCCACCCGCCTCGGCCTCCCAAAGTGCTGGGATTACAGGCGTGAGCCACCGTGCCCGGCCGATAATACATTTTAATATACATTTTATCTTTTAAAGTCTTCCTAACCACTCTGTGAGATAAGTATTAATATACCTATTTTACAAATAATGAAACTGACTCAGAGATTAAGTCAACAGCTCCACATCACAAAGCCTGTAAGTGGTATACTAAACACTCCAATCTTGATCTTCTGATTCTAGTTTGGTGCTCTTTGTAGTAGATTAGGCTGCCCTCATCCTAATTAACTGAATCCTTGGGAATTGCACATTACACATCTCTGTGGCTTTTATTATAGATCTATCTTAAATAATATTAATTTGTGTTCTCATCTCAGCTCCTTGTAAGACTAAATTCCATGTTGGCAAAAAAGGATTACTTGCCTTTTTATCTCTTGCTCTGCCTGGCACAGTGCCTTACACATAGTAGGTGCTCATCAAATTGGACTGACCTGGAGAGCACTAGAATGGTCATTTTGACAGGCCAGTTCTTGCTCAACCTCTGAAACCTCCAGCAGATTCCGCTCACTGACCAATCGAGACAGTTCTCCAACCACTGTCACATGCTTTGAAACAGTCCCAGACATTTTCTTGAACTGTGGATAATTCTCAACAAAGGCCTGCCATGGGAAAAACATCAATGGGAGGTTCTGTTAGTTTCTGACTGAGAATAAGCATGTATTGAATGGGGAGGGAGGTGGAAAGAGGGGTTGTTTTTCAGCCTAGATTAAAGCATCTACAACTCTCAGCCACATGGCATTTTGTTACACTTAAGAAGAGAAGAACACTGGGCGTGGTGGCTCACGCCTATAATTCCAGTGCTTTGGGAAACCCAGGCGGGAGGATCACCTGAGGTCGGGAGTTTGAGACCGGCCGGACCAACATGGAGAAATCACGTCTCTGTTAAAAATACAAAATTAGCTGAGTATGGTGGCACATGCCCTGTAATCCCAGCTATTCAGGAGGCTGAGGCAGGAGAATCGCTTGAACCTGGGAAGAAGAGGTTGCGGTGAGCCGAGATTGCACCATTGCACTCCAGCCTGAGCAACAAGAACAAAACTCTGTCCCAACCACCAAAAAAAAAAAAGAAAAAAAAAGAAGAAGAGAAGAACTAGTATGTGTTGGCAGACTGGGTCTTTAAATAGTCCAGATATTACTGATGAATGGAAAGAATCACATGGCTTTTCATGAAGTTTTCACTATATTGTTTTACTTTTTTTCTTTCTTTCGTTTTTTTTTTTTTTTTTTTTTTTTTTTT